CCAAAGATTTTGTTTTGATGTGCTATTTCAAACTATCAACAGTGGCAACTGATGTAAAGTATTAAATGAAACCCCCTTTACCATGCCTTCGGGGAAGTATACATAATACGAATACTTTTTGTCATATACGTGCGATTGAATACATTTTCATATCAACCTACCCTTCAATTATAAATGGTAAACATTTTTTTCATATGCGATTGAATTGAATACATGATTTATAAAAAGAAAATATATAGTAACTTAACATTATATATTTTAAAGTTGAAATGATTCGTTAGTATTCAGTGATACGAAAATTTTTGGGTGAGACGGACTCACCGTGAGTCCGCCGACCAAATACGATGACTCATCGAAAATCAGAGTATCGAAAGATCGAAACATACAGAAGCAGGATTGAAGAAGACGATCCAGATGATAATGATGAAGGTGCCGCGAAGAAGACGATTCAGACGATGATGATGAAGGTGTCGCCATTGACATATGAAGATCGAACCATATAGAAGTAGGATTGAAGAAAACAATCCAGATGATGATGACGAAAATGCCGCGAAGAAGACGATCCAAATGATGATGATGAAGGTGCCGCCATTGACATAAGCATGGTGAGTGATTCTTTGGCCATCGAAAATTCCGCCATTGATGCAGCACCTTCATCTTAAGGAGAGAGAAAGAGGAGATCCGTTTATTGAGGCGAAGGTTGAGGAGAGAGAAAACCAGAGGAGAGTGTAGGAAATAAGCCCTAAAAATGTTACTGTAGATTATTATTGTTTGGTATTAGATTATTATTGTTTGGTATTAAATTATTATTGTCAGATATTAGAATATCATTGTCAGACGTACTGGACTCACGGTGAGTCCGGTCTCACGCAAAACCTTCTCTTCTGGATAAACAACTCATTGCGTCATTTATGCCAAACTATCATGCATTATTATTGCATTAGTTCTCATTCAAAAGGATATTATGATTTAGTGAAACTTATGCTTTGTTCTCTTTACCTTATTCACTATTGTCTAGTCTAATCAAATGAGAAAAATACAAAATAATCATAAATAAAACGCCAGATCAGATCATACGAAAACTTAAAAATTCACATTAAAATACCTTAAATAAGCCGAAGATAACAATGCTTACAAAAATCAATTCAACCTAATTTACAAGCGACAAATGATTTGAACTGAATAGTTAGTATACCTAGTAAAGATCTTCAAATTATCTCACTAATAAAAAATTGGTTGATGTAAGCTAATTATTACACCAATTAGTATTACTAGTGAAGTGTAGTACTCCCTTTGTCCCTCTATTTTTGCCCCATTTGACTTTACGTGGTCTTAAAGACACGTGTTAAAACGTTTATATCTCTATTTCCAGATACGTAAAAATTATAAAAAGTTGATATCAATTAATTTTACAATGAGACAAACTAAATAAGATCTGACATGACTATATTTTTTCTTTTTTGAAAACAACGAGAATTTATGGTCAAAGTATTTTAAATTTGACCCATATTTTGACAATAGGGCAAAAAAATAGGAACGAAGCTACTTGATAAGTTGATAGCACTATAAATCCCAAGAAAGATATGGTATAAATCCTTGACAACGGGCCTAAAACCGAGATTGGGAATCTAGAGATTACTGGTATTTTAAATAATGGGCTGACAACCCGTTTACCCGATTAATATTTTTCGGGTTCGTCGATTCCTATGTGGATCCGAGATATCTGGATTCTTGTGGACTCCACACTTCAAACTTACAAATTTGGCGAATCTCAGATAACAATTCCAACGGATTTTTTCCAGAACTATCCAGAATTTTCCTGGTAATTCGCATTTCTCCTCTCAATTGTACTCCATTTTTTTTTTTTTTTTTTAATTTTTTTTATTTGTTTCATGTTCATTGCAGTAGAAGTTTGATTTGTCGGTTGTTTTGGATCTGATTGAATTGAGAATTTGATGATTTTTTTTTTTTTTTTTTAATTGTTTGACTGTTGGGGTTCAATAAGAATTGGTGAATTATATGAACAAATTTGGTGTTGAAATCTTGTAAATGTCGCAAGAGACTAAGAGAGTGCTTTTTTGATTTAAAAAGAGGTAAAATGTAAGTGATAAATTTTACTTTTATCTCAATCGGAAAACAATAGTCACATATACAATGTATTGCTATTTTTAGATGTTCGGAAAATTGTCACATCTTGTAATAATTTTGAGTGGGGAACAAGTGGGACTTTGGGAGCATTATTAAATTGTGTAAGGACCACTTCTTACTATGTTAGAATTTTTAAGTTTTGGGTGTCAATTATTAGTATCTCGATTCTCGAGTTGAGATGGGCCTCCTGTGTCAAGATTTAGTCTAGCATACGAGGGTAAGGGAATCTCACCCTAAGTGCCTCTAGTGAGACTTGATCGAGGTCATAACTCATAAAGTGTAACTCTTACCACCATTGAGGAAAATAAAAGTTATTTGGCTTTCATAACAATCTTAGTGGTCGCTTGATTGCACTTGAGAAGTTAGACTTACCTTGTACTTGCAATTCATATGGATTTTCACTTCCTAAGAATTGGGTAATATTGTTTGATTAAGCATAAGGAGTTGAAATTCCCATGAAAATGACTTAGGGTAACTAGGATGTTAGAATTCCCATGAATTAGAGTGTCATTTAGACAACACCTTAACATAGAGAGTAGTAATTATTAACCATACCTACTCAATGCCTTGTTCAACTATGCCCATCACGGACCCGTAAGCCCTCGAAGCCAGGCATTGAACTCTAACAGAATATAGGTGGAAAGAGAATAGGTGTTCATTTTGGAGGATGAAGTAGGTTGATGTTTCGAATTGATGATACGTGGAGTACAATCTATCATTTTATCAAGGTATCTTCGAGTAAGTAGCCATTGCAATAAATCTCTTTCATTTATAGGTTACATGTCCTCTTTCCGTTTGGGAATTGAGGGGCTTTTGTCGGTTTAAGTGATGGATTTGTGGCAATCGGACGAACTTGGCTAAGATCCTGCATTACTAGGAGACTAGGATGCAGATTATAATGGAGAAAGCAATAGAAAAGATATTGTAATTTTCACTAAGACAGAATTATACTTTCTCTTGCAGTCCTCATGTTTGAGAATTGAAAGCCGCAAACAGCTCTTAAGTTCCAATTACTTGTATTAGGCTCCTCATCTCTAGTATCAAATAACCTGAAACACCGTCAATACTGAAATTAACTGCCAGACAAGGAGGCCAGGCACAATGATGTGTACTTATACGGCTTTACATAGGTTTCTATTGAATTTTATGTTGATATTATGGAGTGCAATAGTGTATGTTTCTTTTCAAATTTGCCTTATTATAGGTGATGACATTCCATGGAACACTGACAGACCTATAGTGAAAATCAATAAATATGCCTTAATAGAAATTTTAAAAAGGCTTGAACTGATTGGAATTCAATGTAGGGATCAGAAGCTTAACTGGTTGGCATTGTCATAAGCCTGATACAATTACACTTTGACAGTTTGTTTATGGGATAACATAATCTGTTAATGAGCAGTTATAGTCGACAAGGAGTTGCCTTGGCAAGGACAATTAGGGGTGAAAGGAAGCTAAGGAGTAGGAGTCAGTGAGGAGAAGAGCATGAATTGCATATATCGTATTTGTTTTATGTTGGTGATGCCAATGCCATCAAATGATTTACCGTTGAAGAACAACGAAAACACTTAGTTGTTTATAATTTTTCTCCTGGTTTGGTAAGCAACAGTCTAACAATGGAGTGATGGACCTAATTCATATTAATTGGATCCTGGGCAAAGGGTACTGTCAAGGGCTGGGTAGGGAAGAACTTAGGCCCAAATTTCCACATGATCGCACCATGTACAATGACTCCCCAACCATAACTTTGAGCATATGGGAACTAAGCACCCAGTATCACAGTTGGAGGTTAAGGAACCTTGTCAATTTAGTTACTGCTTGATCTCCACAAGGCATATACTTTTAAGGTTATAATTACCACTCCTAAGGAATGGTATGCGGATTTGTGCATCAGAACGTCAGTCTACCACTTAATTCAACTTTTACACCCCACCCCTACCTTGTTGGATGTTAGTAAGAATGGTAAGCTGTAGTGATATTCATTTTTTTTTTTTTTTTTTAATTTTTAATTTTTGTAATGACAACTGTTATCCCTAATCAGGTGTTTAGTTGCTTCCGCTGGTATTAATACCTGGAAATTCTCTTCCATCTGATATCTTCAGCACCTTTGTGCAATGTGACATTGTTGTATAAGATAGTCCTGTTTTAAAGATACTGTATTCTCTTCTTATATTAAACAATGGCGCATGATTTGATGATAGGTCACCTACACATACCTTCAATATTATAGTCGATTTACAATATTATAGTCGATTTGATGTTGAGCAATGTGTGACTGTGAAGGATTATTGCAGGCTGATATCTATCATATCATTTGATTAGTTTCAAAGTTTACTCTTAGCTCTTCTATAGTCTTCAATAAATATATGAATGTTCTGGTTTATTCTGAGTAGCATTTGAGGGTCAGGGAATCCATCAATTTATGTGAGGAATTCACATACTCTCAGATCATATGAATGCCTGTGCTTGTAAACCACTTACTCATTCCGTAGTCACTAGCTATCCTTGTCAGTTGTGACCATTTTCATTCTTCATATTTGAGAAACTATTTGTTTGTTCTTGAGATGTACCATTACAAATTTCTGAAGGGTTTTGCCTATTCAAATATTTTTTCAATGCTTGCATACAAACAACAAGATGTTAGCCGGAATGTGGATTACGTTTCATTTCTGTTTAGATGCATCCATCATTGGCAATCCAACACAGTCTACCTTCATTTTGGATACTAGTACACTACACTGCATGTTGCTTCTAAGTTACATTTCTCTTGTTTGATAAATATGTGTGTGTGTGTGTGTGTTTTAGTCCGACTATTCCGTACACTATAATCTTTAATATGGCAATGTTTTTTAAAACTTCAGATTTTGTTTATGCTTCAGGGACTCAGTGGAACTACAGATCATAATCAAAACGGCAATACTTAAATCTCTAACTTGTTGCTTCAAGCTGCTTTAATTTGCTTGAGCTAGTTACATCGTTACATGCAGGTTATAGCAATACATCATATGCAAATTCCACCATTGCAAAACAAAACACACTCTTGACTATCTATTTCCCTATCCCATCAGACATCTCTTGTATGTTTCCCAGTCACTCTGAATGTTCTGTTAGTGATTGTGCCCACCCACCCCCCACCTTCCCCATAAAAGTTCATTCTACTTCTAGCAAAAGAATATTTTATACGATAATCTTGTTTGAAAATTCATGCCGTTCAAATATTTTGGCATGAGTAGTAGAAAAATAAGGCCTGTGCACTCCTAGCTGTTACCTTCATGGAAATCCCATGCTCTCTCTGCACTATCTAAATGGAATAACTCCACAGCGACACTTCATAATCGTCGCTCTCTGTGTCATTCCAGCTAAATTCTTCATATGGATTATGAGGTGGAGGGAGTAAGAGTCCTTCAGCCATGTTTACCAATAATCCTGGCATGTCATATAGTGCCTCGTCATCCATGTATTCAGCATTTCCCTGCAAAACCTCGCAGTTATTATTCCTTACCTCATTGTCACCTGCATAAGCTTCTATAACATTATCGTTTATGTTGCTACTCTCCCCCACATTTATTTCTGAACCCTCCCCTGCGAATGCTTGTGCTGCTTCAGCTGCTGCCTTCTGAATATCTCTAGTGTCTGTCGATGCAGGAACACGCAGTCTCCACGCTGAGTCCGCAAAGTTGAGGCATGCAGTCCTACCTCTAAGCGCCAATGCAGCTACATCATGCGCCCGTGCAGCCATCTCAGCAGTAGGATACGTGCCAAGCCATATCCGAGACTTGTTATTAGGGGGTCGCACCTCACAAACCCACCTATTTCCATTCCTCTGCCTCACACCCCTGTATACAGGGTGCCTCGTCTCCTTAAACTTCTTCCTCCCTGCCTTCTTCTTCGGGCAACTCGACGCCAACACCATCTCGTCATCAGAGTGAGAACCCCTCTGAGCGTTTGGGTCAATCCATTGCCTATTTCCTCCATCCATACTGTCTCTAACCAAGTATTTCGTACAACTTTTGACTGCTTGTTTTGAGCTTAATAACTTTTTGTATGCTACTTAATGAAAAGGACAATGTTACAGATGTTTTTTGAGTGGTTAATTAGTTACAACATGTGTTATGTCTTTATATCAGGAAACTTAGGATTAACAAAAATGTTTGACAGTGTTTAATAATACAGTTAATACATGGTAAGACACGTGTAATCTGTTTGATACGCGGAATCTAAACATTTTAGCTAGCATAGTAGTATCTTCTTTTTGCTTCTTTTTTAGGCCTTTTTAATTATTCGTCCTTTAGTTGCTAAAGTACAGGTGTATATACAACTAATTACCACGTGTCCATGTTGGAAAGTGAGACAATTAATTACCACGTGTCAATTCGAAATTGGAGGACAGTTGTTCCTTAAAAATAATTAAAACTGTTTCTTGGATATTTCGGGTGGGTAGACCCATGTATAATTTCAAATATTTTGAAGGAAAAATGGGGACATGATTAGGAAACAGACATTTTTGCTTAACTTGAAGGGGGACAACAATGTCTTTTTTCAGTCTAGGTAAACTTAGATTAACACGTGTCCATGTTTAAGTTGCCACTTGGCTGTAATTAGTGACACTTATTTACTTTAGTTAGTGTATAATGTTATTTTAATTGTACAAATGAACTTTTTCATATTATCTAGTTACGTACTTTAATTTGGTACAATTATAAAAATGTGAAAAGGTGCAAATATCTTTTTTGTACCAAGTGTTCTAGATTAGGGGAGTGATTGAGATATTTTGGGTTGAATGGAAGTTTGAAACGTGTTGAATATTTTCAATACTTAATATTAATGAAATTAAATGATAATATGAAAAAAGTGTGGTTTGCAGTAGTTTGATTCATTTTGGGTTTTGATGAAGTCATGAAGAGGACATCTATGACATGTGAAAAGAGTAGAATACTAAAATGGGACGTTCATGTTCCTAGGATGGTAAGGAAGGAGTAGTAGTAAAGTTTCTTCGTCACTTCATGTTTATGATACGTTGATTTAAATTTGGGTACTAATTATGACACGTAATTTTAACTTAAAAAGATTTCATCATCTTTAGAACTTAGTTATATAATTTTATTGGCCGTTGTGGCCTAGTGAAGTTGTAGGTACACAATGCATTGAAATGAAGATTAATGAGATTACCAAATCAATCCTAACTCAGAAGATTTCTTTTAAAAAAGTTATTCTTAGCACCTATACATCTTTAATAGACACACCTTTATGTCTCCAATTAAATTTCCACCGTAATAAATTTGTGTCAATAACTATAGGTCTATAGCTGGTACAAAATAGAATTTATATTAATTAAATTATCTTTTCTATCTTACTCTGAAATTAAACTCAAATTATACAACTCAAAACCTTCCCATAACTACAAATTCAACAGACTCTTCAACCACGTAATATAGGATCCTTACAAGTTTGTACCACAGAAAGCTCACATCATAATAGCTGCACATGTAATTTCTCAATTCTTAATTGTAAATATGTAATTGCACTCAAAACTGCTACCTAGACAATTTTAATTGTACCACAGAAATCTCTCACAATACTTGTACACATAATCCCTCAATTATAAATTTGTAATCACACTTGAAACTACTAGTATGACAACATTAATTTAATTTCACGAGTTGTCATTAGCTGTCACTGATATTAGAAGTCAACATTGCTTAAGAAGTAAGAATTGACTATGAAAGAAAATCAATAAACATGCATGCACGAGTACTTATCAGTAGAATCTTCGACGAAGGTCCGATAAGTATCCTGTCTTATTCATTGATTTTCAATCACCTTCTGTGAGCCACTACTTCACTTATTAAGATTATTAACTGTGCTTATCACCTTTTTTTTATTTTTTTATTTTTTCTTTTATGTGCACTTATTATACGCGCCTATCCCACGCTCTAATTAATCTTCGGCTAAAAAAGTTAATTTTTTTTCTTTTTCTTTTTCTTTTTAAGAAAAAAGGAGATTTCAGAATTTGTTCATTTCTAAACTTGGGCCCAAGCTGAGCCCACAATAATCTAATTATGGAATATGCTGCATTAACCAACATACTTAAGTGAAGTCCAGCTTATGACATTATTGATTTGATACTTGCTTAATGTGTTAATACAGTGTTAATGTTATTATTTCAACTTTTTTTTAATTATATGTCACGTTTTTATACTTTATTTATATGTTAGAATCTAGACTATAGTTGTGATGGACTAATGGAGTACTTATCGAAATAATTGAGGGAGCAATATTGTGTGTTGAAACCGTAGCTTGTGTACTCTCCTCCAACCGTTTTCTTCTTTTAGCTGTACTACTACATTTGGATAATTAAGAACGTGTGCTAATTAACGATTCTTACGGTGTATTATTGTGTACCTTGGCCATTTTTATAGAAGTGTAACACTTGTTTTATTCAACTGTTTCCGTATTTACAAACAAATACTACGTTTTTAGTCTCGGACAATGTTCCGAGTTACTGCATTAATTCCATGATTGAAGTTTTTATTTATATTTAATTTTAATTGAATGACAAATAATATGGTAATAGCTTAGTGGCTAACACCATATTTTTAAAACTTAAGGTTGTGGGTTCAACTCTTGTAAAAGCCATATTTTTAAGCACATGAATGAAAGACTTGATTGATTGAGGAAGGTGCCACGTGACACCTAAACATCTTTAGGAATGCTTTTAAATAAATACAACAAGTAGTATAGATACTCCATAACTCCCTCTTTAATTCTCTCCATTTTCTTAATTTAATTTCTTTGCACTTAATTTAATTTCTTCAAGAAGTCTTTTATATATATATATATATATATATATATATATATATATATATATATATATATATATATATATATATATATATATATATATATATATTCAAAGTATCAACTTATAATAATTTTCAATAATATATACGTAGTACTTAAAAATATTAAAGTTTAAACTAGTACCATATTAGGGATCACATAAATTACAAATGATTAGATTCCAATCAACTCACGTTTTATTGTTTTTATATTATTTTCTCTCTCTTTCCATGGTCCATTCACAAACTCACACACTATTTTCTTCGTACAATAGAGAATTCGCATATAGTATGATTCTCTTGCAATAAATAATTCACTCATATATAATACTTGACAAAATTAACTCCCCAAAGACTATGTTTCTAATCAAGTAATGCATTTATTTGAAAACCAAGGGAGTATAAAGTATATAAAGTGGGGAAGTTTATTTTTGGAATGTAAAATACAAAATACAGTGTTTTGGATTATAATAATTATTGTTGGATTGTACTCGCTTTTATTGGAGAAGAGGTTGATCACATTTAAAAGTACTCGTATGTACATGTGGGTTTCCTTTCTAGACCAAAATTGAATAGGATTGATATTTGCTAACATGGTTTTGGAGCCCAAGTGGGTTGGGCCTTTTAGAATTGGACATTTATATCAAATTGGTTAAGGGAACATTATTGGTTGTTTACTAATGTGCACTATTCTAAGGACACTCATGTATGAGAGAAGTGTTGAAATCCATTGTTGTCCACTTATAAGAGCAAGATCATAAGACTCTTGTCTTAAAAAGTTTAGTCAATTACGGAGTAATAATGTCTTGAATACATTTAAAACATGTGTAACACGTGTTTGGTGTATTTGAGTAGTGCTTTAATATACAATTAACCATACACTTCTAGTTTGGTACAATAAAAATGTAGGCTTTATTGCTACCGACTTGTTAGTGACACACTATTTGGCATCGACACGAGCCACTTGCGTTCAAAATGGGTGCAAGCCATTATGGAAACAGACTCTCTCCAAGCTTAATACTTTCTTTATACATCACATTTATATTTTTATTAATCTTAATAATTTTTTTTTGACAAGAATTAATCTTTAAATTCAACTACATTTATCATTTTATTAATACAATTATTGGTCTTAGGTGGAATATAGGTTATGCCACTGAAGCTCGGTGCTATGAAGTGTCCTATATCAGAGAAGAAATTTATAAAATTTAGGAATTACTCCTATAACCAATTGGTTTTGACAACCTTTGGATAGAACCAATATGACTAGATCAGAAGTGAGTGAGAAATTCATTGGGAATAATTGATAACCATGATTTGTTTTTTATGTGAGTGAGAAATTCACAAAATGATACACGTATATATTTATTATTGTTATGACATAGAAGACAATAAGGGCTTGAAGTATAAACTTGAAAGATTTAGTGTTTGACTGCCATAATTTATTCTCGCATCTAAGAGTTGATTGTGGGTCGTGCCAAGTCACAATCTAATAAAGCTGGTCTATTTAGAACTTGTTTTTGCTGGATTAGATCGACTATAATTCGAGCGAAAACTTCTGCTAATCAAAATTAAAAGTAAACTGAAAATTTAATGTAAAATTAAAAGTGCAAATCTAGTCACATCTAAAAAAATGATTAGACTCAAACCGATTACCTCCCCATTGAGCTAAAGAGAGAGGTGAAAAATGGGTGTTGGAGAAAATCACATTCCAAAACCGGACAACATTTTAGTGTCTACTTAGGGCGATGTGTGGAGACCAAAGAAAGCACAACTTTAGTAAGAGCAATGAACTTTTATATGATTACTCTGACTTTGAAAGTTCCATTTAGGTTAAATTAATGATAATTAGTGGCCGAAAAAGAAAAGTTATAAAATGATAATCATAATTAGCTTAGGCTTTACAAGACAATTAAAGAAATACATAAAGGAAGATCTCTCATATTTGGTATTCAAGTATAACTTAATTAGGAAAGGACAAAAACTTTCTACTTTACTTTTATTTGTATTTTTTTTATGTTTTAATTTTATTTATGTTTGGAAAATGTGGCGACGAGTATGAAATGTGTACGATCGATCATCGATGCATATTGGTGAGAATTATTTGGTGGTTCCACATTTCCACTTGCCTATTTTATGAAGAGTTTAAAATACCATTATTTTGCATCATCGTTATGTCAGCTATATGTTCTAATTAATTTCCAATATTGGTAAACATATTATTTGGCTTAGCCTAATTAAGTTACCACTTGTAGGTTGTAGCCAACCTTTTTGAGTTGAACTATGAAAGTCTAACTTTAATTTCATACTAGGTGGTTAGGGATATTTGACATCCTTCAACTCGATCGAACGAGTTAAAAAAACCAGTTCCCATCTTGATATTCATAACTTCATTCTTCGTGACATTCAACATATTGACATATTATCTATAAAATAAACTCTCTCGGTCACTTTTAGAAGTTTAAAGTTTTAATTGAACCATTTTTTCACGTAGGATAAAAAGGATAGTGAGCCATAATCTTACATCCCAAGAGTTAACAATAGATAACTACCAACATTTTAACCGACTTCGTCTGGATTATTCTATAAAAATTCATCAATTGATCATCATAAATTCATAATCATACATCAACATGATGAGTAACTAACTTCAAAATATTTTTACAAATAATGATATCAATTACCAAATATTTGTTAAAAGAAAAAGGTGTTCTCATAAACATTTGATATTGGTTTTATCGCATATTTGTATCCTTCTCATCTTACCGTTCAACGACATCACACTGATCATTTTTAGGGCTTTATATAAGTTCTTAATGCCATCTATAGGGATTAATGCTCACTCTTCATCTTCAATTTGCTAAAGTCTTTGCCAATATATCTATGGTTTCATGCATGTTTTCTTCTTCTGTTCTTGGATTTAAACACGTCTAGCGAATAACACACTGTGATAGTACGTAATTGTTAGGGTTGGGTCTATATCATTTGTACAAATAATAATATTATTGGCTTCGTTCTTTTTTTATGTTCGTATTTGAAATATTTATGCGAGATAAAAAGAAAACTAAGAACAATAAGAAAGAGCAATGGGAGTAATGATGATAATATTATGCACGTCAAAAGAAACACAAGATTATTCAAACAATAAGGAGCACATGCAAGCAAGATCTCTAGTGAAAGTATCTTTATTGCTCTATATAAGGAATATGTTCTTCTTCTTAAGGATTATGTTATTAATATAGTGTCTTATAGATTCATCTTAATGTATATTTCAAAAGACTAGCTTTTTGGAATGTAAACTTATTGAAGAAAAATGATAAATATAATCCTAAGGGATATATATAAGAAGCTGAAAACAGGAAAGATTGAGAATAAATAAGCATCAATATAATTACATTGATCTATACATATTTTTGTCATGAATGTCCAAATTTATACCATTTTAAAAAATATATTTAATGCTTATATATGTCCCTTAGGATTACATAAAACATATATTAATACCCTATAAAAAATTTGAAATTATGAATTATATTTGACACATATGAAAATAAAAATGTTGCAACTAATTAAAAATGGATTGGAAAAAGGGATGTATATCAGACAAAATGGCCACTTTTCGGATAGTGAACGTTCAAGATTGTCAAATGATTTTGTCCAAACATAAAAATGTGAAAATAAGTCACCCAGACAATATAATCTGAAGGATGTAGTCGTAAATATTTGTGGGGCAATTGCACCTTGTTGTCCTGACGCTGGCCAAGGAAACATAGGCCACATAACCAATAAAAGAGCATTGACTTTAGCGTTTCTTAGGTAAGTTTATCCCAACATTGAGACTTATACTTCACACTCTGACACATTAGATTTCCGCTAATTTTTAATTACTATTTTATTCTTTAGACTCGTACATGATTTTCTTCAGTTTCACACATTATTCCAAAACTCGCTCTAGATTTACTTATCTAATTAATATTAATAACATTAATTTATATATATATTTATTTTTGTCCTTTTGTATAGTGTCAAGATATATTTATTTTTGTCCTTTTGTAATAACATTATTTTTGTCCAATACATAACAATATTTTTATTTATATATTTATTTCATTTATAAATTATTTTTTAAATGGTGAGTTGGCAGCTCACTATTGAACAACATAATTATTTTTGTCCTTTTGTATAGTCTCAAGATGAGTTTTAGAATCCAAAACTCATTTCAAGGCTATATGTAATCTTGGTAGAGATTATTGCTAGAGTCTTGCTCAAAACTTGTCTAAAGACTCATCTCAAAACTAGGGATAAACTTACCCTTAAACAACTTTTTCATCGTTTTTTTAGCTTATTTTACACTACAGTGGAAATTTGATTCACTAATGATATCTTTAGGTTTATTAAATTCTTGTCACTTACAAATATATGAAAAATTTATACTATTAAAGACATTTGATATTAGTGAAATTGCGATGAACTTTCAAATCCCCATCTTTCAACTCATAGAGTCACTATATTCAAGACTTCAAGTAAATAGTGATAAAGAATCAAACTCATTCTTGTTTTGTTGGAACAATATAATAACAAGAAAATGTTACGGAATATATATGTACATCCAGTATTACAAAGAGATTCAAATAAGATGTCGATTGGGGCTTAAAATATAAAGAATTAATCGCACAATAATAATACTAAATTACTAATTAAAGTATAAATTTATCATATATCTTAAACTAATTAATACAAGTAATTAAATCAAAACTGTATTATAAGGTGCTAGCTAGGGAAAAAAAAATTAACCCTTTTATTTTGGATTTTTCCATTTCGCAGAAAAGGATTCCACGAATATTGATGTATTTATTTTGCTAAATATAGAGTCAATGAATGATAACTTTCAACATTAAATTATAAAAGTTGGGTCCAAAAGGACCAAATCAAGTTAATGTGTGTCATAAATTCTAGGCACCCATCAAAAATAAATAAATAAAAAGAAAGAGGGATTTAATTTACAAAGTGATACGTAGATGAGGATTTATAATAAATTTGGTGTATTTTTTTTAATGTTTACAATAATATATACATCACAAAAATGATGATTTTAAACATGAAAACACTAATAATAAATTTATCATTTTACAATCAAATAATAAAATTGAAGTCCTATAATGTAGGTTTCCTCCCAATATAAACTTCCAATGTGTAGTGTTGGTGACTTGTAGATCAAGTAGTGACTAGTGAATACCAGAGAACTAGCATAGTGTCCGTACGATGCACGGTTAATAAATCAAATTATTAATTCCGTAGGAAAAAAAAACAAAGATTGTTCAATTAGTAATAAAGGGCTAATTTACTAATGGTCGATACAAAAATAAAAGATTGTAATTTAAATAGTATTTTATGTTATTTGCATTTCTTTTAATTTTTATAATGTTATTTTATTAATTAAAAAATAAATGAACAATGCTCTACATAACTATATAAGAGAAGTAGACTAATTTATTTTCTATCTCCGTAGGGAAAAAACTAAAATTTTCTTGTCATATCATTCGCTTTAGCAACTACAATCTAATACATGTTTTACCCGTCGCATTCACCAAATCTATAGACATGATAATAACCATATATTTGACCTACCACTATTGTATATGATATATGGAGTAATATTTATAGTTAGGAATTAATAGATATGGAGAACATTTTAATTTAGATTTGGGAAATATGTGAATAAAAAATATCATAATTATATGATTTGGTGAATATTGTATATAATTTATAATAGGTAGTTGATGGCATTGACAAAGAAAAAAAATATATATATTAAAAAAAGGGAGGGGGAGTTTTGGAGGGAAAATACAACACCAGGAAGTGACATGTGTCATTCCTGGTGTCTATTTTAGTATTATGTTAGTTGAGGGATGATTTATTTATTTTGGTATTACTTTGGTTTTTATTTTATAAAATTTTATAATTTCTTTATTTTTTTTTGTCAAGAGTAAACTCTTATAATGCAAGTAGGCCTTTAAATAAAAAATAAATAAATAGAATTTTGTCCTTTAATTTATTGGTCCATTGATGAGATACTATTAATAAAATGTGTTTGTGGATGATCCACGTAAAATTATGGTAAAATCTTGTACTAGTTTTGTGGATGATTGATCCACTTAAATATATGGTAAAAACTAAATATACAGCAAATATAATTGATGCTCTATAAAATTAAAAGAAATTAATTAGATGAATAGGTAGCACCCTGGCAAATGCCTAGGCAAACAGGTACTTCGTATTAATTCTTGATGATCATAATCTAGCTGTGTAAGCACGTATTATCTATAGATACGTGGAAAATGACATTGCTCCCAACTTTTTCATTAAAATCTTTCTTTAATTTCACAAAATTAGAATTTTAACTGTAGACGTGTTAAAAAAATTCAACATTTAATAAAATTCATGACCACATCTAATATAGTTTAAATGTAAAATTTTATAGTACAGATCGAGATATGATGTTCGACATAGACACTTAAGAGGTTAGTGCGGATATGTTTATATTATAACATTACGACTAACAACTAACCCATAACATAATCAATACCTTTCACAAATCAATGAGGTAAAACCAACAAAATCAGGCCCCTACCTAGAGAGAATGAGCACACAATTAAAAACCCAAAAGACCCACCACCTAAAAGAAGATTAAGAAAAAATCATAAAAACACAAAGAATGATTTAACAAGACTGTTTTCTTTGATTAGACCTAAAGTTGATGGGTGATTAATCATAATTATGGAGGCTTATAATAAACGTATTTATCGCGCTTAATCCGTGTATTTTAATTATTTTTCATCTACATCAAAAACCCTAGAATTTCAATTAAAACACCCCCTTCATTTTAGCCAGCTAATTAGCTAACTCATCACCTTCTTTATTTCAACTACCGTGCAAAAATCAAAAATCAAAAATAAACTTTTTATATTAATTATTATTATTATTATCATGATCTATCTCTAGTAGTACTTCCGCGAATTTCCCACGTTTTGACCACTTATATCCCAAGAATATAAATTGTAATTGTCATTGAATTAATTAGATCAAATTATTAAACCCTTTTTCTATTTTTCGACTAGAAAATAATCCAAAAAATCAGTCACTATTAATATAGCTAGGTGTTGTCCTAGTATATTACACTATATGGCTGACCAAACTGGATCATCCAACGTTAACAAACAACTTAATCAACAACTGCCACTTCTTTCTGTGTCCATTCCTCAAACTGAGCCTTATCAGCAATCGTCGCTACCACCACCACCACCACCACCACCGCCACCACCACATACTATGGAAGGTGCAGGGCCGTCAATGTCGACGACCCTGCCTGTTGTGTCCCCCACGGGGAAGCACCCCTTGTATCGGGGGATACGTCCCCGGGGCGGTAAATGGGTATCAGAAATCCGTGAACCAAGGAAAACAACACGGATATGGCTCGGCACATGGCCTACAGCCGAAATGGCAGCAGCTGCTTATGATGCTGCTGCCCTTGCTCTGAAAGGGAGCGAGGCCGTTTTGAATTTTCCTGAGGATGTACTGAGGTACCCCGTTCCGAACTCGAACTCCCCTGCAGACATCAGGAATGCTGCGGCAGTAGCCGCAGCAACGAAGCAGGAAAGAGAGAAAAAGATTGGGGATGAGGTGGAGAAAGTTGGAAAAGAAGGAGCAGAAGAGGAATTCATAGATATGGAAGCATTGTTTAATATGCCGAATTTGCTTGTGGATATGGCGGGAGCAATGATGGTTAGCCCGCCTCGATTAAGCGCGACGGGTGATCGCGACTTGGTTGAAGATGATTGTGATGTCGGTGAATCTGGGAGCTTGTGGAATTATGATTAATTTGCTTGTAGTAAGTTTAATTATTATAGCATGGCCTTAGCTTGTAGTCTTTTCTGACTATTTATGAAACTTCACAGTAAGTGACAGAGTGGCCTTGCTAACACTTTGACTCAGCAACTCGTTTGGCTGACATAGTAAGCACGTCTTTGTCTTAAGATCATTTGGCTTTTTTTTGTTTGGTAATTTTGGTACTTTGTTTCCACTCAATATGAGTTTTTTTTTTTTTTTTTTTTTCACCTATGATCAACTGCTACGACTAATCATGTTGGGTGTAACTGTGTAAGTAAATGTCTACGTATAGTATTTTTATAACATGTGGATGTTAACTTATGTATTTGGTTATATTAAACTGTTGAATGGTATTCTGTAGTAATGAATACTTAAGATTTAATATTGTTAACATTATTGTCTTTTGTGTCTCTTTCTACAAAAAAAAAAAGTGTTATATACTACGCCAATTTGGGTTTTCAAGAACCTCTAAATATTCTACCTATAAGAATCGAATATATCACCCAATCAGTTTTTTAAAATACTATATATTGCAATTATTTCATTAGCATATTTGCCCAACTACATATTTAAACATAAATAAATGTAATTATATGTTTTTGATATGTTTATTTACAAATGACATCGGACATGTGTTTGACCATTAATATTGCTACTCCCTCCGTCCCTTTTATAGTTCCCATTTGTAATTTTGACACTATTCATAATGTGAGATAATCTTCTAAATCACTCTTAATATATAAGACATAACATAGTCATGTTGGGTTTTATTTGATTCGTCTCGATGAATAGATTATTAATATTCAATTGTTATATTTCTTTAATAATAAACAACTAACGATATTTATGGTTAAAAGTGTTGCATTAACAAACGTGCACAGTCCAAATGGGAACTGTAAAAAGGGACGGAGGGAGTAATTGCCTATAAATAAAACTAATTAAAATATTGTTAGTACCGAAAACATTGTCATTAATCCAACAACAAATATATTATACAATCAATAATAACTTAATTATATATGTATATGTGTATATATAGTTAAGAAAAAGTAAAATCAGAGCTAACATTTGAGTGTTGTAAAAGGTGCTAATTGTAAGTAATTAATTAATTATATATATATAAGTAATTAATATTTGAAATATTTATATATTAAGAACATTATTTCAACAAAGTACACATTACACAATAACATATGATCGATTAGCTCTCATACTTTCAGTCAAAGTATTGCAAATCTACGACTAAATGTCGAAGTATTAGTAAAATAAATATTGTCAAAATTAATGTATAAGTAGTACAATAATGAAGCCGTTGCAAGAATTCATGAACAAAGAAAGTATCAAATTAGTAATTTTAAAAGTCACTTTCTATTCTAATAAGAAGTATCACTTTTTCTTCTTCTTTTAGGCCCATTTAAGCCCTGGATCTTCAAAAATACAAATATTAAAAAACACCCGGTGTACAATAGCATTATTGTAAATCGGTTCAAATAAAGTAAGTTATCATCTAAGTGTTTGCACCTTCTTCCTTATTTTTCATTTTCTGGATCTTTCTTTCTTCTTTCAGTTTCTCTCTCTACTCTTACTTTCCTCTCTCTACTTCTTTACTCTTTCATTTTCTCTTCATCTTCCGTGCCTAAGAAATCACCCAATTTCTCAAATGACGATTTTTTCTCAAAATTTTGTTTGAATTGAGTTTTTGATTTATATAATTGAAATTCAATCGATTGTTTCTATCAACATTTAAGAACCTCCAGACACAAAAATAGATGATTGGCTTCATCTCAAATCATTATCGAAGCGGCACAAAAATGGCTATTTGGTATGGCAAATTAATCTTCGTTTCTTTTCGCTACAGTGTTAGTCTTCATTATGGTGTTTCCCACAAACATTTATGATGATTGTTCTGGTGAATCTGGGATTTTTTGCTTCTCGAATTTAAAGCGAATGATAGTGGTTATTGATGAAATTCCTATGTTACTTCTCTGTTTTGTTTTGTAAAAAAAAAAGTTACTTTGTGAAAAAGAAGGGTCATTTTTGTGGAAAAAAAGGGTTACTTATGTGAAAAAAAAAGAGTCACTTTTGTGAAAATATAGGTCACTTTTTGTAAAAAAAAAAGTCACTTTTGTAAAGAAAAAGGGTCACTTTTCGCAAAAATATTTGATGTACAATAAAATTATTGTAAAGCGGAGGCATGCAAAAGTTTTTGTTATACAAATGCCGGTGATAGTGGCCATTATTTCCAGGATAGACAAAACCCCTCAATATCGGCTTTATTTTTTATAATTATAATAATAAGATGTCTTAATTCATTATAGGATGAACACCAATTAGCATTCGACACGTTCAAGTTACATAGGAAAGGAGATAAGAAAATTATGTAAAAAAGCTTAGTGTTAAAAGTTGAATCCTAATTAATTAACAATATTATTGAGTAAAATGAAAGCTTAATCATACTTGAGTATTAAATTAATTGTCCTTCTTTAGGGGAAATTATTAGTTTCCTTCCATTTAGGAAATAGTTTGGGTTGGTCAAAAGAGGCAAGGGCTTTTAGAAATTAGTAGATTTCATTCAAAAGAGTCAGCATTCAAGATATTCTCAAACAAATCGGCTATAGAAATTAAACTTGATACTCGCGTGGATATGGCATTTAAGTTAATTGGATGATTTAAGAGGTGTTTTGTTCACTTTAAAATTATAACATGAAAATCAGTGTTTGCAGGGCGCTGGGAACAACAATGGTTTCAACTCTAGCTATCATTTAAGAGGGCCTTCGTGACAGGGGTTGTTTAACTTAGGTCAAAACATTCACCGGAACAAGGCATGGTTTACCCTCTAGGGATTTTGTATCTTGCAAGAAGGGACACAAATATTCCAATAATCATCATATAGTGGACGGGTTGTGGGGTCAAAGGGGAACTCTGGATGGTGTCCAAAGATTACCAAAGTTGGATTTCACAAAGTACAGATTGGCACAATCAGCCTTACATGTGGAGATGCATACTTGCTTGGGTGGATTGCAATGGCCTACTTTCCGACTCCTCAAAGTTGTCATATCACAATTTATACATCAGTGGCGATGTCACCCTTAGGTGGACGATTAATCGATCGTATGACATATCCTCACTACGACAACAAATTATTGGCTTTTAATTATATTTTTTAGTTAGTTGGTTTAACACTGGTCAAAAATAAAAAAAGACATAGAATTTTATTTGACAAGAATTGTATATATGCAATTATGTATGCATGCAAATAAATTACAAGTTCAATGCTCATATATATAGGTTCAAAAATGTGTGCCTGCAACATATACATTGCATCTGCATTTGAAAACCAAGGCACATGTTATGTCCTCATCTATGCTGCCTTCTCCTTTAACATACACAATGATCGTTTAATTAGAATCTACTATATATAGTCTATAATAAGCCACATATTACTTCGTATTAGAGTTCATTTTTGATAGGAATCAAAATTCGTTAAAAATATCATATTCATATATACTTCGTAGTTACTATCATTTTTTTTTTTGAAACACGTAATTACTATTGTTGGGAATAAAGAAACAAAGATCTTCTTCGTTCTTACTACTATTATCACAATCTACCCTAAAAAACATTCGAGAAAAATTATAATTAAACTTATTAGATACAAATTATAAAAAATAGCCTAATATTTTGGAGCATTTCATCAAAGAAGGTTTAAACAAAAAGAAGTAATTGTTTTGTTAGGGTCGAATTGTAAAACTAGAATTTTTCTCACTCTTTTCAATAGTACTACTTCCTCCGTCCCTATTTTTTAGCCCCATTTGACTGTGCACGGTCTTTAAGACGCGTATTAAAACGTCTATATCTTTATTTTCACACACGCATAAATTATAAAAATGTGATATTAATAAAATATACAATGAGACGACTCTAACAAGACCACTCATGACTAAATTATCTTATATAGATTAACCGTAATTTATGGTCAAAACTTTCAAAATTTGACCCCAAAATGACAATGGGGCAAAAATAAAGGGATGGAGGGAGTACATAATAGTAAGATTCTCTCGGATATAGACCTTAAATTTTTCTCCTTCAATTAGGTCTATCTTGTTTATGTACTCTACTCAATTAGCCTTGAATTCAAGTTCAGCATATACATTGCCTCAAAAGAAAAAAAAGTTCAGCATATACAATTCATGAAATAGTTTACTTTACTTTATTTTATTTTATTTTCTATACATAATCACAATATTGTTTATTTGCATATAAGGCGACAAATTAAGTGGAAATTCGTTAAATGTACCAAATCGTATTTGGTATTAGACCTGGTTATTGGACATGGTACTCCAATAATAATAGGGTTAGGGTCAAGCTTGGCCTTTAATGGACAGGGTCTTTAATGGACAGGACCCTTATTGGGTAGGGTCAATACAGGTGCTAAATGTTTGTTCAATATAATACATAAAGAAATTAGATAATGTAAGAGAAATTATATACATATTAACGTATTCATATGTACTTAATTATAATTTTGTCCAATATTTATTTTTTAATTGATAATTTGTTGGCCAGCTCAATATCGATCCGCTATTGAGCCGCGACCCGTATTGGCCCGACCCACTATTGGTCTTATAAAATGTGACCCTCTTTTGACCCCACCTGTAATTGACCTGCACCAACCCTGACCCGATCCGCCCAATAAGCCGGTCTTTTTGGTATTATCATAATATTTAATGTGGACGTGATTTAATCAGATCTTAGATATAGACCGAGCACTTTTATTATTCACAAATTAAAAATGGAATCGTAGGTCAGACTAAATAAAAATAAGAGAAAAATAAATATCGCTATGTTTTGAACACATTTAATGTGCTCAAGCCCTCATTTGTTGCACTCTTTTTGCCTTCTTTTTTGAGCAAAGCAATACTCTGTATACACTTTGGCGTTTATTCCCCAAAAGAATTACAGTAAAAGCATAAAGCTATTCAAATTCATTGAGTCGATTTTTGGGAAATGGCTCAATTTATAAATGAGTCACATTCAGACATTCATAAATTCATACTTGTATAACTGAATTTTCTGT